TGAAATAAAAATGATTCGGCAGAGTCTGTTGCTCTCTGGGGAACCTGCAACAAACAACCAGAACTTCTTTAAACTTTGGTCTGTGTATGTATCGAGTATTTGCAGATATTACATATGAAAATAGAAGTTGACGTTGCCTAGCGTAAGCTGCCCCCTGGGGGCTACGCTCGCGACTGTAGTTCAACGAAAGAGTTAAGACCGTATACACACCATTTGCATTTTAAGTAGATATCTAACACATTCTTAAATGAAATTATCGTATATCACCTTCACATTATATATTATTTGTTGTTCGTTTATTGTTCTACATCCAGCATATAACAATTGTATTTTCAAATAAAAATACTTCTTTCGCCAAATAAATTGTAAATAGTAAAATGTTTACTGCTAAATACTAAGGTTTGTAAGGTTTATTACAAGAAAATGGGGAATGTTGTTGAAGAAAAACTGGAACTGAAATTGTAAATTATGTCTTATGTCTAACTTTTGATCTTCATTATCCTTTAGAGTCTCTTCCTCATTATGGACTTATGCCAAAGGGCAATCACCTTTGGAAAACCTAATCGGCGCCATGTTTTTAGGCTCCTCCCATTTGACGGATCCCAATAGTCTAAAAGGTAGCGTTTACGAATAATTTGGAAAGAAACTTGTCTTTCTTTACAATAAAATGCATTACCTGTTACAAGGTAGTTCTAATTATACCAAGTGTAAGTAATTAAATGGTCACAACCGATTCTTATTTAACGAACTAAACCGTAATAAGTGCTGTTAGCTAGGCAGAAATTATATTGTAATTCCTTTTTCGTTGAAAAAAGATTATATAATTTTTAGGTATCTAGTAATTAAATTTTCCTTTCAATTCCCTAACGTGCTTCACTCTAAAAATAAATAACAAGACAAAAAGTATTTCTTGGAAATACATGATCCGCTCGTTGGAGGATTATTAAAACTTCTCAAGTATCTCTCCCACGTGTTTAATAATTTAGAATCCATTTACCAAAGCAAAACGAGCAAGTTCCCGGAAAGAATTTCTTTTCAGACGTAGATTGTGCTGGTAACAAGTTGATGTGTAATTATCGCCGCAGGACCATTATGGTCCGAAATTAGTCACGAAAAGTGAATAGGGATGATGACTGATTTTCAAAAACTACTCCACGATGTTTGTAGGTGACTGCTTTATACAAAATAAATTTTATTTCCGAAAAGAATTCAGGTTTTTAAGGAAAAATTAGCGTTTTAAAGAATACGATTTAAACTTTACGCCAAAACGATAGAATAGTAATGGCGTCTATGTGTGACGTCACCGTTTCGTAAACAGTTGACACGTTGCATGTTTACTTGCATTGAGATACATTAAATTAATTATTTTGAGCGATAGTTATCATGAATTCTGATGTGTATCGATGGTGTACGGTTCCTCAATGTAATCATACATTTGTTCATTAACGTTCCAATGAAAAAAAAAGTGAGAAATACGTGGCTTAATCTTGCAAGGCGAGACCAAGCAGCTATATCTTCCAATTCTGTAATTTATTTCTGTGAACCTCTCAACATTAACAAGTCGATCCTTGGCAAA